AAACTGTAAATAAGAACCACGACTTATTTCTATTAGGTGATGTAAACATAAATATTAAGATAAGTAGTCCTATAAAACATAAATATAATACTGTATTGTACAACTATGGTCTAATGTGCGGGATCTCACAATATACAAGAATTGAAATCGCTAACAGCAAATTAACTAAGACTTGTATCGATCATATCTATGCGAGATCCCACACACAAGACGTGTATACAGCGGCTCTCGGTACTCAACTGGCTGACCATGACCACCGTGCAATAGTTTTAGCCAGTGTTGCCAGGTCAAGGTTTTACTTTACCCTAGGCTTGGTCTCAATTTACCCTAGAATCTGTATTATTTAAAAAAATACCCTAAAAAAAGACGTGTGGCACTCGGGGACTGCCGCGGTAAAGCTATTGCATAGCATTTTTTATCAACTTATGCAATTATAATTAATTATTTATTTTATTTATGCATTTAAGTCTTTGATATTAAATCAAGTTACACTTTTTGAGCGTGGTGACCGATAAGAAAACAATTTTTTTCTCTTATTGTATAAATGAGAAGTTAATATTGTTTAAAATATTTTTAATATCTTACAATACATGTAGGTTATTCAGGAATTTTTATCATTCAGTTAGCAGCTAGTGTACACGCATACGACTAGTCGCACGCGCACAAACACCGTGCCGAAGTCTGCCGAGTGCCGAAGTCTGCCGAACTGAAACGACGTTAGACGATGCACGGCTTTCAACGCCACACCTCCGTGCCCGTCGGAGTGGGGAGCGTGAGGTTTTTTTCGTTACGGAATTTCTGGATTCGGTCCCCGCGCTCAAGGCCCGCGATAGAAGCTATGCAATAGCTTAAAATATCTAGGATTCCCCAGCCGTGATACATTACAGATTGACTATATTATCATTTATTTTACTATTGTAAATAAGTACTAATTGTAGATATTGACAGGTTTAATAGAAGTTCATTTTTTTATACTGTGACTTATAACCTAATATGACCTTGGGAAGAAACTCATTTTAATATAAGGTTTTACTGCAATGACTGCCAAAGGGTTGTTAATTTCTACAATAGACCGTGGCGTATTGTTGCTGACATGAATAACTCCGAAAATATAATTTATTTACTTGATCGTGTTGAGTTTTTGTGCCCACTGTTATGACTTTAAAAGCTTATATGCATTAGACCAGCAAGAGACGAAGTGACATACTTCTGTTGCATAATAATGTAACTGATCGTATATAGAATATCATTGCGTTGAAGACTCATCTTCAAACACTTCACAAATTGATAGACAAAAATATGTACCAGTATGTTTATTTTCAATTACTGATACACGCTCCCTTACCAAATCCATCAATAAATGCTATGGAAAGAAAAAGGATACTATTATAACAACACAGTTAACTAACATTTGTGCACTAATCACCTATTAATTATCTGGCCATAAATACCGTACTGACCATTAATTTGAATTACAATTTAATTTTTAACACACGTTTTCTAAGCTTCTAAGCGTTTTATCATTTCTAGAACGAAACATTTTATAAAACACCAAATTGACTATTTTACACCGTATGGCCTCCATACACTAAAATACGAATAAAACAATAGCGAAAAATGTCATTAAATCAATGATCATTAATGCGTGTGTTATACACAAGGAATTAAAATACAAATATATTCATGGTTATATGGACATCAAATATCGTGCGGTATTAAACTTTACCGATAATCTGACGTCATACGACGTAATTCAAATAACTGCAAAACCAAACATAATATCTTAATTTAACAAAAATAGCCTTCACAAAAATGAATCTAGTTAAGTATAAAGTAATTTTGTACAGATTAGGTAAATAGTTCGCACTCTTCCTTAAGATAGTGATCATAAAAAGTAAACTCGCAGTGAGAGCACAAAAAACTCAACACGATCAAGTAAATAAATTATATTTTCGGAGTTATTCATGTCAGCAACAATACGCCACGGTCTATTGTAGAAATTAACAACCCATTGGCAGTCATTGCAGTAAAACCTTATATTAAAATGAGTTTCTTCCCAAGGTCATATTAGGTTATAAGTCACAGTATAAAAAAAATGAACTTCTATTAAACCTGTCAATATCTACAATTAGTACTTATTTACAATAGTAAAATAAATGATAATATAGTCAATCTGTAATGTATCACGGCTGGGGAATCCTAGATATTTTTTCGTATTTAGTAAACGAATAACTAGTTGGTAAATTAATCATGATATATATCTTTTTTTTTCGCCGGAGACTAAAATGATATTGCTTTTTTTCGTAACTGCAGATTCTGTGGATTTATTTCATTATTTTGAACAATATACGAAACTTAAGTGACTAAAATTAAATCTAATCTGAAGAATCATAAAAACTGTATTATTCGGGCTAAACGAATCTAATAAAGATCTGTTATTTTTGTCTCCTGCGAAAAAAACAGACTAGGAATCTATCGAATACCTACATAAACAAAATATCACCTATAAATAAAATATTACGAAGCGGAATAACTAATAAGAGTGGCAACGTCGCACTATACAAAGGAATTGCGTTAAGACGACACCTCGAAAGGGCTGTCGCCGGACTGATCCGAGTGTATGCATAATTTCTATAAAAACTTGAAAAAACGCCCTCATAAGGTCTAAAATAGCGTAGCGCCCGCGACGATTAAAAGCGCTTAGAAATTCTCAGAAACTTTAAAATATTTTTGTAAAAATTATTGATTTGAGTAATCAAAATAATGAGCAGTAAATTATGAATATTAATGTTATGAATATATTTCAGTGATTTCGAAGCATATAGATTAAGTAATTTCGTTGTAATTTCAACTATAGTGGTTTTTTAGAGGTGTTTTCGCAAATAATTATGATCGAGTCAAAATTAAACTATCGTGTTTTTGAGCAATCAAATTCAAGATAAAGACATGAATTTACCTATATCAAAATTTCACTTCCCTTAGTGGTGTCATAGTCCTATCAATTATTTTATTATTATAATAGTACATGATATTCCCTTTAAAATGACACCAATATGAATAATATCTTATATCTATATCTACAAATAAATAAAATTGAAGTGTCTGTTTGCATTTAATAAAAAAGATTTTTATTAAATGCATATGAAAGTACTAGTAACAAAAACACAATTTTTAAATTTTTAGTCTGTCTGTCGGTCTGTCTGTCTGTCTGTCTGTTTGTTCCAGCTAACCTCCGAAACAGCTGGATCTATTTTGACGGGACTTTCACTGACAGATAGCTGATGATATATAAGGAATAACTTGAACTACTTTTGTTTTAGAAAAAGAATTAGGGTTCCGCGCAAAAAAATTAAAACCCATGAAATCCATATTCCACGCGGGCGAGATCGCGGGGAATAACTAGTACTCAATATAGATAAATGTATACTTATTTTTATTTATTTATTATTTTAATAAATAAATAAAAATAAGTATTAATAATTTCTAGACACATCTCAACAGATATTTCGTTAATAAATTGCTATCAATACTGAAGCATTCTTTTATATTTAGCATCCATTTAACACAAAAAAAAAACTGATAAAAATACTTTTTAAACAACATATAATCAATAAACGATAATCGCGTATAGTGAATTTCGAGGTAAACCAGCATGCGACGACGCGGCCCGCGCCTTGCCGCCACTTGCGTTTGCCGCGCTTTGTCTCGTCACAGAGTGGCGAAATCACAGTAATATAGGTATTTTATAAACAGCACCTGTCTAATATTATGAAATATGTAGATAAAACTTACCTTGATAAATGTATACCCTTTTGTTTGAAATATTTTTTTAGACCTCTCTTCAATCGTTCTGCTTATTCCCCATGTTTTACAAACTAAACTTAAACATTAATAAAACTGTACAATTAATATAACTATAAAACACTACTATTAAACGAGAATCAGAAAAAACCTACTCCACTATTAACAAAATTAAATTTTTGCAGTAATATTTTACGATTTTATTTCGTAGTGCTGAGCTCTCGCAACGCGGCGTACGTCCACCTAGCAACATGATGCGCCCCGCACTGAATTCGTGGACGAATGCGGGGGTGATATAGACGCAGTATTTAATCGGGACGCATTTTTAATTTATTATCATAAAAATAATACATATTTCTAAAAAGTAACCAAACCAAATTATTTTATTTTGTATTGCAAAGCAGTAGATATTTTTTTTATATTCCTTTGATAAACAATAAAGGAGTAAAGTGGTTTCATCTCAACGATTTGGAGGTGATTTGGGTATTTTTTTATTTATTATGTGACACCGATAGAAAAATTATGGCTAAACCAAATTACGTATTACGTCTCTGTAAGTGTCGACGAAAAGTTGGTTCATCTGCACGCTTTTTTCAAGCTTTTTGCGAGAGAGCAGCCTTAATAATAAATGCACTTTGTTCATTCATATTCAAAATTTCAAAACACTTTATACACAAACACCGTGTCGAAGACTGAGGAAAAGAAACGACGTTAGACCATCGTTAGACAATGCACGGCCTTCAGCCTCACCTCCGTGCCCGTCGGAGAGCGTGAGGTTTTTTTCGTTACGAAATTTCTGGATTTTCCCGCACTCAGGACCCGCGATAGAAGCTATGCAATAGCTTAAAAATATCCTTGTCTTTTCCTTTTTTACAAATAAAACAACTACATTATTTATTCATATTATTATATTATTGGCACATAACAATAAAAGTATCCTCTGCATCTTTATCTTTTTTGTCATACATGCTATTATTAAATTTGTCCAATATTGTTTTTGAAGGAGTGAAGTTAACACAAGATTTGTGAAATATGTTTAAATTGTATCTTACGACAATGCTAATTTAGAGACATTAGGGAATCTTTTATTACCCCTAGCGTCTGTGTCCCCCTGAACTTCAGTCCAAAAATCAGTACAACGCGTCGTATTTTTCCAAGATTTGTTTTGCAAATTATTCCATTCCATTTCTACCTCTTGTTTATACTTCAGCCCTTTGAACATTTTGTAATATGTCAACTAATGTAGGTTTCACTTGAGAAGTGGCTATTTCTGGAGACAACTTCACCATGGCTTTAAGGAATGTGATCTGTTTTGGCAACCTTTTCTGTAATTCGGAACACAAAATAACAAGAAAGGTTTTGCGTCTCTCACGTACGTCTTCTTTGTCACGTCTGTCTAGTTTCGATAGCGCCTCTTCAACCGTGTAGCCAAAATGCATTGCTGATACATGCATCAAATGCTCCTGAAAACCAAATGATGTATATTCTCCATCCGTAACAGTTTCAAGCTTCCGAGGTATGACAATAATTTGCAGGATATTTTTGAATAGCAAAAACAAGTCTTCTAACAGTTTCGCTGGATCGACATTATCACTTTGGAAAAGGGAATTTACTTTAGTAACTTGTCGTAGATGAACATCTAAGAACGTGAAATATGCATGGTAAGCTCTGCATTTCATGATGTCATACAATATTTCCGCCATGAAACATTTGTCTTCAGTCTTAGCCATCATGAAAAGAAGCTTTAATTCCTCCCATTGCTCGAGTAACATTGACATTAACAGTGTGTTCCGCAAAATCCTGGTATTTTTTTGGAACTCGACTTTCGTTCATAATTTCGTATAAGTCCCTGTAGGCTTCAAGGCGTTTTGAACTATACGAGAACCAATTGTGGCATTCCCGAATCAAAAATTCCAGTTGACGGGGTATACTTTCTCGAATTTCTCTGCACTGAATCTCTGAATTCGAAGCTTTCTCTGCACATAAATGCAACGAATGACAGGTACAATTAACGATGATAATATCCGGTAAGTCTCTTTTCAACAGTGCTGCGACAGAGTGGTGCTCACCAATCATTACAATAGTACAGTCTAGCCCAATTCCTACCAGCATTTCAAGACGTAAGGAGTCCTCTAGTAAAGTATTTTTTATAGTTTCATAGATGGTTGTTGCATCGCATTTAGATATTTTTATGTATCTGTAAAATATTGTAATGATATCCTGCTTAATTTTTGAAAAATACCGTATTATTATGCACAGAATGTTATCTGTTGATATATCCGTAGTTTCATCTACAATAAGTGAATATGCAGCATCACCAACACCTGATATCATTTCTTGCATCATTACTGGACCAAGAACGTTTTTTATTAGCATGCTGCATTTAGTTCTGTGTATTTTTAACGTCCCCAGAACTTCTGATTTCAGATCAAGACATGGCAGGATTTCACCTAAATGATCTACATTTTGAATAGCACTATGTTCAACTATATAAGCAGCTGTTTTTAATTCCGCAGTTTTGTTATTCTTTTTGAAACTGTTTTTATAAAAGACAATTGCTGACAGGACTTCGCCGCTTTATCTAATGACACAGCTTTTATGTGTTTTTTACTCTTTGCGTGATAGTTAAGTTCTTTCTTGTGGGGTACTAATGTGACTTTACAATATTTGCACCTTGCATAGTTTTCACCAGTGGGGTCAGGACAAATCCAATCTAAAAATAAAAAAAGCAAAGCGTTAACACCACCGCACCGCCGCCACCATTCATCTTCATCATCACCACAATATGCATTTATCTTTATCCATCACCACCACCACCCGTAAAATATACCTACAGATGTGGGTAAATTTTGCAACAGGCAACTCTTATACATTACCAAAGACATTCAAATAATATTAACAGCCAAACTGCCAAACAAAGTACAATACAATCAAAGAAAAACAGTTACAATAATGCTTGTGTAACCTCAGTCTCATTGCTCAATTAGATTAATACATATTATAGCTTTAAGAAAACTGGACTTACCTTTTAAATTTGGATCATACTCCCATTCTTTACAGTATTTTTGTGCATACTTTTTCACACCTGAACGCGTAACGCCAGCACTAGACGACGCCATTTTTCACAACAACACACACTCTCGAAAAGAAAGAGCAAGCAACATAATAACTAAGAGACTAGAGAGAGACACAAAAGCAATCGGTGCGTTCACGACACGGAATCTGTAATGGGCGCGTTCAAAAACAATATCATTCAAAGTAATTATTTTATTGTTATTGACTGTTACCCCAAAAAATAATTAGAAGAAGGAAAATTCATACCCTAGAAATTACCCTGCTGGATTACTTTTACTCTAAATATAGGGTAAATTACCCTAAGTTGGTATCACTGGTTTTAGCATGCATTGGAACTGGCAAAGTGCGTACAAAGGATGTTCAAACTTTTAAGGTAAAATAAAGTACTTTTTTCGCAATTACAAGATATAGACTGGCTAAATACTAAACATATCTTCTGTCCTTTGAAACTGTATTCTTTGATATTAAAAAACATTAAGGCATGTTATGATAAATCGCAAATACAAATAAAAATTAAAAATGATTACAAGCGGCATAACAATAATTGGATGAATAAAAAAATTCACGCGGCATGCAACTATAGAGACAAATTATTTACAAAATGGTTTAAAGATACAAATAATAAAATATTAAAATTGGAATACAATAAAGCTAGAAATTACGCTAATAAAATAATACAAAAATACAAAAATATAAATATAAAATCTGAAATTATTAACAACAAAAATGATATAAGAAATCTATGGGTCATTCTAAACAAAATTACAGGCAAAGTCATTGCTTCAGTAGACAACGTTATTATAAATGCTATGGTAACGAACACCCTAAAAACTGCCGACATCGCCAATAATTTTGCGAAAACATTTAGTGATAACGTAAAGAATATTATACCCAAATGTAATATTAGTATTCTGGATTCAGTAAGCTACCGCCGTCCAGCTAAAGTCTCTATTAGATTTCAGAAAGCCACGGCAGGATCTGTTAACAAAATTATCCGTTCATTAAGCACTAAAAAAGCTCCTGGTTTTGATGAAGTAAGAATTATTGATCTTAAAAATATAAGTGATAAAATTGCACCCATTATAGCTAATCTTATAAATACATCTGTGGAAAATGGTACATATCCAGCGGGGTTAAAAACAGGTATAGTACGTCCAATCTATAAAAAAGGTAATCATAAAGACTATGATAACTACCGTCCCATCACTATACTGCCTATAATTGATAAAATTATTGAAAAATTTCTCACTCGACAAATACTAAATTTCTATTCAGACAACAGTATTATAACAGAAAAACAATTTGGTTCCCAACCTAAAAAAAGCACTATACAACTATTAAGTAATTTTTCAGATTCCATTTACACACACCTTAATAATAAAAAACATGTCCTAGTTGTATTCATAGATTACAGTAAAGCTTTTGATACCCTGCGGCACAGTACGCTTATTGAAAAACTTAATGACTGTGGAGTAAGAGGTCCTCTCAACAAATGGTGTGAGAATTATATGCAAGACAGAACCCTATATGTAAAGGTTGGAGAGGAACTTAGCTCTATGGTGAGAGTATCAGAGGGCACAGCACAGGGCTCTGTTTTGGGACCAGTGCACTACATCACTTATGTTAACGATCTGATTAACCTGATTAACAACTGTGAAATATATCAATTCGCAGACGACACATGTTTAGTATCCGCAGACGTTAACATGGATGTAGCACTGCATCGGCTCCAAACGGACTTCACCCTTCTAACAAAGTGGTCTCATGATAATGGGCTTGTTCTTAACGCCATTAAAACTAAGCTTATGTATATCAGCTCCAGCCAAAATAGGATTAATATAAGTCCTCAATTAATCGTCCACGATCACGCTTGCCTTCACTCAGACCATACCAACTGCGTATGTGAACCCGTAGAAGTAGTAAAAACGCAAAAATATCTTGGACTAGTAATTGATGACCGCTTTAAATGGACCGACCACATTAACTTTGTTTGCGATAAATTGAGAGCAATTTTGGCAAAGTTTTCACTAATTAAATGGAAAATACCGTTTTCAACGAAAATCCTGTTGTACAAAGCATTAGAAGAATCTGTCATATCATACAGGCTGAATAGTTATGGATGGACATACAAATCACACCTAGACCTAATTTATCAACTCCAGCTAAGAATTCTTAAAACCATCGTATCACCTCACATAAAAGACAAGTATAGAAGTAAATGTGAGGGTCTATTCACTTATTGTAAAATTATTCCTGTCCATGAGAACGTTAAATTAACTTTACTTAACGAACAGTTTTTTAATAAAGACATACAACACTCAATAGATCATACAAAGCACACTCGCAGTGTGTCAAAAGCTTTACTGAAAATACCACGATCTCAAAATCATTACGGAAGACAACGACTTGCCTATATTATACCCAAACTAATAAATGAATTACCCTTTACACTTAAAAATGAGATTACTGCGGAAAATATAAAAAGAAAACTAAAACTACATTACTTAGACGAAATAAAAAAGCATCTTACTAAATAATTATATCTCATATATATTATTATGTACGAAATAAATGTACATATTATACATAAATCAATAAATTAAAAAAAATTAAAAAATAAACGTATAGTATGCCTGTATGAATGCGTATATATTATTGTTATATATATGTGCGCATAAATGTGTATGTGTGTGTATATATTTATACACAAATATCGATTATTTTCTATGTGTTTAATACTTACTTAACAGAGATTTCTTACCAACCGTAGTACAGTTAAATTTTACCGCTTGTGAACATCCTGTGTACGTTCACTGGCTAACCGGTTTTGTGCGTCTGAGTAATGACATATTTTTACTACCCGTGAATGTAGCTACGTATGCATTGCGAGTGTGTAGACCTTCGTTACGATTTTAAAGCATATTATATCTATCGTAAAATATAATAGATAATGTCTGTACGTAGATTGAGCATCGAGTGCCGTCGATGAAGCATGGTGTACAGATAAACCTTCTTAGGTTTTTGCGACACCGTGATAAAATAATTTAAGCTTTGTATTTGATTTATTTTAAATAAAAAAAATTTCTTCTGCACATCAATGATATGTTGCAAACCAGTAACATTCATTGCTCTGCGGATGACAGCACTGGTGATGCTCTGTATACCGGGCGTGCCAATATTCCGTAGTCTCCGAGTACCGGGACAAACTTGTGTTTGAAGTCGAGTCGTTGCTGAACAAAGTCTCGGATTGGCGGCAACTAAATCTAGTCCAGTTTGATTTCCCAGGTATTCTGGCAGAGAGAAAGGGCCTCTTCGGCTCCTATCTCAGCTGCTATCGGCCTTCAGTAGCTTTTCTTTGCTGCCCCACTAAGCTTATAAGGCCTAGCGAACTTTTTCTTTTCCCCTCCCTGGTTCGTTTCGGATTGTGGTTCGGCTGCAGACGTGCCCTCCACTTCACGACTCGTCCCAGGTTGGGGCGCAATGTTACAGGGTATTGGTGGGGCTAAAAACCCTCTTCCAAACCTACAGCTAGTTCCATTAAAGGAGATTTTTCATTATCTTTTTCAAAATGTCGGTTTTCGTCAATTTTGTTCCCACGATTAGCTAGGAGAGTACTCGGTCACCCCCGGCAGAGCTCCGCATGCCGAGAAGAGGGCTAAAATACTACCCGAATCGCCCTAGTCTCGGGTAGGCAGTGTTTACGACTGGACTCCCTCCAGCCACGCATCCATCGGCACGTTACGCTTGACACCTTGGATTAGGTTAGGACGGGAAAGGGGGGTTGGATAAAAGAAAAGAAGAAGAGGATCGTCTGAGAGTTTCTGTTCTGTCTGTTTCCCATTAAGCCAGACCAAATAACAGGCGGCAACCACGTAAAGGAAGAACTTCTCAGTCTTGCCCTGGGGATCAACACAACCTGCGCTCTCCCCCAGAGCCATACGCCAAACTGCTCGCCGGACAGGAGAGCAGAAAGGGTGTTAATCTAGTCCTAGTAATTATGTCAAAAGTTAAGAGTAGACTAACACTTTAATGACAAATAATGGAAACGAATAAAATTTTAAATCCCAAAGGGGTCTTTATACAGGATGGTCCAAACAGTGAGGTTATAAATTTTTTTTTGATTCCTCACACCTAGGGGTATCCGAAAATACCCTATGTATGTTACGCGATTTTTTGTAGTTTTCGAGTTATGATTTTTTTACCCTTTTTTTGAAAATATTCACCCTAAACAGCTTAACATTAAAAATGTAATTGTGAAATTTTTTCCAAGTTTTTTTGTTTGTAGCATGATCCTTATGAGTTGCCCTATTATGCATAAAATAATTAGCTTCCTAACATTCACCGAAGATACAATAATTTTAAACGAAACTTAAAAATTTTCTGTCAGGAGAGTGGGGCTTGAATTTTCAACATTAAATGAAAAATAGTAATAAATGATTTCATACTTTCTAATTAATTTTAAAAACTTTGCAGTACCTTAATCTTTCATAATAACATTAAAAATATGACACTTAATAGGCCAGTTTTTCTGTTACAGACTTCTGAAGTTACTCAGGAAGGAAACTACCTAAATAGTTAATTTGATTTAAAAATCTTTTTATCATTTCTAGGGCTAAACTAAGATAGTAAATGCTTCAGGTTAGCAAAGAAAACTACTTATTGTTAAAACGTGACATTTATTAAGGTATAATTTTACTACAAACTACATGTTTTTTTTATTTCACTGAAACTAAATGATAGCACATTCAGTTACAAACACACAAAGGAATTTTAAACAAAGGCTCAGGTAAACATTCCTGCTTTGCGCTCTATTTTGTTACCAGGCCGCACCCCGCACCCCGCGCCACACCGACCGCGTCCCTTTTTCACCTCGCTCGGTCCCGCCAGTCGTTCACTGCTTTCCCGCGTGCAACCACTACTCACATTTACGTTTATTTGGATCTCTTATTTGACTATCTTTGCTTTGTTTCCCGGATTCTTGATTTGCCTTACGATTGACCTGTGCTTGTTTTATGGACCTTGAGTTGCTTAGTGATTTGGATTA